ACACACACACACACACACACACACACACACACACACACACACACACAGCAAAACCCACAAGTTTGAAGCATACTATCTTTCTTTCACTGAGATACTACTCCTTAGTTGGCAAATAGTGTTTATAAATATTCTCTTCCTCACTATTCTCAAACTAAAGCTAAGATTTATGTATTTTTCTTCTCCTGTGGTTCAAGGTACAGTTGAGCATAATAGGTTGGCGTTCTTTATTGTTGCAATGCATATTATTTTAGAAGCAATTTGTAGAGGCCACTTCTGTGGATGTTAGGGAGAAATAAAGATGAGACGAATAAATGTGTGCCAATGTCCTGGTGTTCTAAGCACAACTGAAGAAGCAAAGAGCCCGCGAACTAGAGATCCACATGAAAACAACCGTTTACGTCTTCTCAATATGGATCAGCACTGTTCTTTAAAAAGAAGACATTTTTTGCCTTTCCTCTCCCCTCCCTGAGCATCTCACCCAGGTATCATGATCCTGGCGACCATAGGAAGCAGATCTCTTGTGTTTTCATTTTAAGAAACAGTCTGGTTTAGAGGAACATCTTTTTGTCCTTCCCATTGGGCTTGCCTTCCCTTTTAATCCACATACCTTTATTAACGGCATCTTAAAAGCTTATTTTCTAATGCACTTCCTTCTCCCAGTGCTAGAGAGTGAACCCCGGGTCCTGGACATGCTGTATACATGTTCTTTCACTGAGCTACAGCCAAACCCCCAAACAGAAATTATTTTCTAATATCTTACTCTGTTTTTTGGTAATAAGACAAACATCCTTACATTTCATGCATGTACTCCATATTTACTCCATTAGGGCTCTTCTGTGTTTTGTTTTTGTTTTATTTGTTTTGTTGAGGTAGGGTCTCACTATGTAGCCTGAGCTGAGAGGGAATTCACTATATAAACCAGGCTGGCTTCAACTGATTTCACAAAGATCCTCTTGCGTCTGCCTCCCAAGTGCTGGGATTAAAGACCAGTGCCATAAAGCCTCTCTCCAGTAGAGCTCATTTCTGAGCAAATGACAACCAGGTATTTTCATTGGTTGTTCAGCCCAAATGCTGAAACCAGTATCCACAGCTGTGACTATTTCTTCCTAAGTTTGATCCTTACAGGAGCAGTTCAGGTGAGAGAGGTTTCTTCAGTAATTTTCTGCTTTGTTATTTGATTTTGGAATGAATGTGGATGCTTGGGTTGTGGGGTGTGGAATGTGGGTTGGCTCAGGTGGGAGAAGCAAGATTTTGGGAGCAACAGAGTCTTAACACTCTAGACAGCAGAGTTGGCAGGTTAAACAATGTCAGTAATGATATAAATCAGGTGTAGAGATCAGGGAAAATGGAAATAAATAGTAAACTTACCATGTAGTTATGGGAAAAGCCTCTGATGTCAGCAACTGTGTAGTACTTCTCTGACTGTACAGAATATTGAGGTAACCTGAGCCCTTCATTAATGAGTATTTGATAAGATTTTTATGCTTAATGACATTAATTTGTGGGCTTGGAATTTTTGTAGGCTGGGCGGAGTTAAAACCTCCAGGGAAAAGGTGAGTAAGAGAAACACATAGTGCACCTCTGGGCTGTTGCAAGGCTGACGCTGGCTTAACTGACTTCTCTTTCCATAGGCAGTATCTGCCAGGATTGGCTACTGTGGAGTGTATCTTCAGAACATGAGTGGTAAAGACTTGGGCAATTGTTTAAGTGTGGTAAGTAACATTTGTCAAAGGTAAAATGTGGTAAGTTTTAATATCGCATGCTAGTTGCTTTTGGCATATGCAAACAGATGTAAAGCTGTGTGTAAGGTATCAAGTTTCAGCTGATTGTTTTCTTCTTTATTCTAGGAAATCTCAGCCTTAAGTGAGGAACAAAACTGAAATTGTAGCTGCTTTTATCTTCTCCCTGTTGTGTCAATTCGAAAGTGTTTGATTTATTGATATCAAGCAAGATGAATGGCTCAGAAGCAAGAATTGGCCCAATGCACCCAAAGGTTAGTTTTCTAACCTTAGTTTCTTTTGGAATAACTTTGGTTTGATAATGTGGGAAGAGCAAGGGAAAAAATGTTTCCTGTAGCCTATTACCCGACCCCCTTGAGATGGGTCTCATATAACTGAGCTAGCCTCAAGCTCACTCTACTGTGAGGCTAGCCTTGTACTCTTGATCCTTCTGCCTTTCCCTTCCAAGTACTTGGATTACAGATCTGATTTGATTCTAGACTGTGTATTTGAGACATAGTACAAGCAATCATTTCTGTTTTGTAAAATGGGTATGTTAACATCATTTTCTTAGAATTTTATGAAATAAAGTTAGGTAAGAGAGCTTGTCATGCTGGGGATATAGCTCAGTTGGTAGAGTGCTCACCTAATATACACAGAGCTCCTTGGTGTACTCTTCAGCACTGAAAAAAAAAACCCAAGACTATTTTGGCTTAAAGAGCAAAATTATATGTCCTTCCTCATATGCAGATCCTATGCAGTGTAATGTATATATGTCCTGTCCATCTATAAATGATTATAAATGTGGTTAAAGCATAAAAAGATATAAAAGAGTCAAAGAGAGTACCCAAAGAGATTCTAGCAGAGGGGAGAGGGCAAACGGACACACGTCACATGAAAGCAGAGAGTCCAAGATGCAAATGAGGACAGGGATGGGGAAATGAAGGGAGGAATAGACACACTGCTGAGACACACTTTGCTGTGATACATTATTGTGTATCATAATGATACACAATACTTGACATGACAGCTAAACATTCAGTGGCTGCCACATGGTAGAACACAATAAAACCTGGTTAGTGGCACAGCCACATCCACTGGAAACCTCGAGAGTCATGAAGCCAGCACAGCTGTTCCAGCAAAGCTGAGCTGATGGCTGCAATTGTTGTCCTTCTCTCTTTCACATTGACGCTTTGGTCCCTGTGTGTTGTGTTACTGGGGACTTTCTGCATTATGATTTATTTTATGTCTTTTCCTGAGAAAAATTATGTCTGAGTCCTTTTAATCCTAAAATTAACTCTATCTGGCCAGTATTTGGAACTCTTTCTTATGGCCTGGAGATCATTAAGCACAGGTGAGCCCATAGCTAGGTGAGAACATGACTCCAGGAAACTTCTTGGGGTGTCTGTCCCTGAGCAAATGCAAACAGCATAATTGATGCAGGGTAAACAGGGACAATTGACAAAATCTGATTGGACAGGGGAATAGGTTACAGATTTCAGGTCTCTTAGAATTCTCTAAAAATGTAGTAAAGATAGGGGGTCATATAGGGCACACTCCAGTAAGATAGATTGACTAAAACAAACGTTTCCTACTTTATAGTGTAGATGATGAAACATAAAGTAAGTTAGGTATTAGTATTTGCTACTCGTAAAAACAATGGTTCAGATATTTTCTGTTTGTCTGGAATGCTTCCAAACAGCAAATATTGTGTCTGTGTTGGAGGAGACATTCTTTAGATTGTTTAAACTGGAGTTAAAGGGCTGAGAGTTAATACGACTAATCTGTTCTGTTTCTATTCTCTAAGTGGGACTGAACTTGTAATCCCGGATATGTGATGAAAAATCAAACACATTTCTGTACCACTTGGATAATGATCAGTCTCTCTTTGTTCTGTGAATCTTGTATAAATAAAGAAGTCCCTGGTTGCTAGTCAGTCAGAGCAGCAGAAATGGCCTGATGCCTAGTCAGAGCCACAGAATTTGCCTGACTGCTAGCAAGTCAGAAATTGCCCTGACCATTGTGCCTGGCACCCTCCCTCCCCTAACTGACTCCTTATCTCCTCTGCAGGCTGTTCTGTCAGTAAAGACCCTCAGACTTTCCTCTCTGTGCTGGGGAAGACCCTCGGTTTGTTTGTCAACTCTAGAAGCCAGAGTTTTCCGCTTTTATTGTTCATAAGTTTCTCTTTAGCTGCCTGGGACTTTGGGATGTTGTCTTTTCAGACTGAAACACTGATTGTGAACGTTAACTACTCTTCTATGTCTCAGTATGAAGTCCTGGCAACATCAATATGTTCTTTCTTCAAACCATTTTTAAAAGAAAAGCTTTATTCTCTGTTGGTTAGATTTTAATTATTTGTTTTGAACAAATGCGTCTGATTCTTGTGGGTAATTGTGTTTTCCATCAGTAAAGATGCACAGTTTCTGTTCATATTCAAACTAGAAGAAAACTGTATCCAAGTGATGATACTTCTGAATTTAAAGTTAAACACTTCATTATTTATATTTATTGTGAAAGTGTCTAAGCTTGTAGCCACATGTGTTGATGTGATAACAATTTGGCACTGGAGGTATGGTAGCATTTCTGGCTCTTAGAACCACAGATGTCTTCCTAGACTGCTTATTACGGATTGTCTTTGACTAAAGCAAAGGAGAAACTAGCATAATTCTGTCTTTCTGGCACATAATCTATCTGTTTTCATTTATCAACTATCCAACAGTTATGTAGCACTTAATTATATGCTAGACATATTTCCAAGACACAGAGATTAATCAGTGAATATAAGTAGAATCTTGCTTCAAGGTGCAAGATTCTCAGTGGAGAATAAATACAACAAATCAGTAAATTCTACAGCATGTTAAAAGGCAATGTCTTATCTAACAAGAAGTCAGAAAAAAAGATAAGCTCTATCTAGCCAGATCCACAGAAAGCACTGCAAGAAGTCCATATTTAGAAAGCAGTGTCTGGATATAGCCTTAGGGGAGAGAGAGAGAGAGAGAGAGAGAGAGAGAGAGAGAGAGAGAGAGAGACCAATATCTCTAGCCAGAGGAGCTACAAGTGCTAGTGTCCTAAGTAGGAAGCAAATTTGGCATCTTCAAAAAGAAGCAGGAAGGCTAATATTGATGTTGGAGAAGAAACTTTGAGCTGTTGGAGAAGTATGTGATGGGCTAACTTTTGTGGGTCGTAGGACCCCATTTGAAGCCTTAGCTGTCTTACACGTCAACAGAACATCTCTGGCTCACATGTTGAGAATATTCTGACACAGGCAAAGATGGAACAGAGTCCACTTGGGAGACCTTTGTAATAATCAAGGTTTTCCGGGGTAACATTAGTGGAGATAGTGAGAAATAGCCAAATCCTGGGCATAGTTGGAGGTGAGCAATTTCCAGTTGGCCGCATATGGGAAGAAGGAAAACAGATGAGGAGTCAAGGATGACTAAAATTTTGGCATGAACAATTTTAAGGGTGAAACTATCTTCAAGTGAGGAAGACAGTGTCGGGGGCTCCAGGTGAGGGATGTTGGGAACTGTGCTCTGAACAGTTCTGAGCTTGAGAGCTACAGTAGACAACAGAGTGAAGAAGCCAGGTGGGGAGGTTGAGGCAGGAGCCTGGTGAAGTTAGATATTTGGGAGAAGTGGGCACAAGGTGTGGCATTTCCAGCTGTGAAGCATGGTGAGAACCCCATCTTATGCATTTATTATTTATTTTCGATGTTCTTGGCTCCCCTTCTCGATGGAACCCATAGAAACATACAATCAGGCTGGCCTTGGCCTGCACTTACATACAAGAGCCTTTAATCTTGCCAGGTTTCTAGACCCGTGCCTGGCTTCTGTCACAGCCACTTTGTCTTGGTCTTGGCAAAATTAAATCTTTCCTGAAACTCCTAATTCCCTGGTGCTGCTCAGTCAGCTTCTAAAGTATAACTCAATGCCTTACACCCGTTCTATGCCGAAGAATGCTTATATGTACTATTTATTTTGATTATGGGGCTTTTGTGTATTATTTATTTTGAATACAGGGCTTAATATACATTATTTATTTTGATTACAGGATCATCCTAGCCATGAAATGCTTGTCCTCCTGCCTTCCAAACTTTGCTGATTGTTTCTAGGGCTTAGAAGGATCTTCAGTTCCTACTGGCATATCATTATCCACCGTGGGAAACATATGTTTGCTGAATCAAAGCCCTTGCCAAGACACTCTAGGCCAAGATACTGCACAGGCCATAATATTAATTAGCTTTATATTTTCACCACAGTGTCCCCTCCTTCTCTCTCCTCTCAGCCCTCCCAGCTCCACCTCTCCACCCCATCTCCTCTCCCTCCCCTTCTCTTCAGAAAAGAGGAACCTCCCATGGATATCAGTCTGTCCTAAGACTAGGCACATTTTCTCCTATTGAGTCTACACTAGGCAGCCTAGTGGGGGCAAAGGGTTATAAATGCAAGCAACAGAGTCATAAGCAGCCCCTTCTTCTGCTGTTAGGAGACCCACATGAGGACTAAGTCAGACAACTATAACATATTCAGAGGGCCTACATCAGTCCCATGCAGGCTCCCTGTTTGGCAATGTAGTCTCTGTGAGTCCCCATTGGCCCAGCTTAGTCAATTCTGTAGTTTCCTTGTGTTGACAAACCATACTCTTAAGGCATAACCAAGAGTCCCTTTTACAACCTTCTTTCCTGATGATTGCCCAGGGTGAATATTCTTACCTAAGATGTGAATTAGGGTGAACTAATACTGTGGTCGTGGTCATTGCTGGTACAATCCACCTGTTCTTTTGCAGGGTATTTATGTGTGTGTGTATGTGGGGGGGGGAAGATCAGAAGGATATAAAAACTGAACTTTCTTGTCACACACAGGCTTGTAAGATCAGGCTTCTTGGCTATATGACTATGCTGTAAGGAAGTGGTTCTCAATCTCTGGGCCATGACCCCTATGAAGATCAAGTGATCCTTTCACAGGGGTTTTATATCAGATATCATATGTATCAGATAT